GTCCCTCCAGAAATACCTGTTCTTAAAAGGAATACTGCTCAGAAAGTGGACTGCAGTCCACATTCCATTATGTTCCTTTGATGTGCCAAGAATGTTGATGTCAAAAAGAAACACAAAATGTGGGTTTTAAAACACTGAAAACAATGTGCACTAAATGGATACACAGCATGCAAAAAAAGATGTGAATAACATTAGAACACCATGAGAATGCTGTCTTTTACTCTGTAGGACAAGATGTATCTAAAAAGAACCATGTTCATATAATGAGATTTTATTTCTTCTTAACATATCTTGAAATGAGGAATGACAACTCATCTCTTGAGAAAAGATATATTTCCAGCTGGTGAAAATTTCACAGATTCTTAGCTCTGGAAAATTAGCACACATGAATGAGAACAAATTCAACCTAATAAATCTGCAAAGCATTTAAAAGAAACACCTACAAGACATATCTGAAGAGTGGATGGAAAAAGCTATCAATCAAACCCACAAGGTCTATTCGCTGTGGATATACAGTGCATCGTGTCTTAGTTATTGGATAAACCTTGAATAATTCTTTGTATTTCTGTATTCAAATCTATTCATTCACTATTCCAAGAGATTTCCCTGAATGTAATTAGTAGCTCCTTCTCAGAGTTATATCTTCCCTGTCTCTGTAAACACATCATTCAAGTTCCAAAGAAAGCAATCTTCTACCTGTGAGAAATTTGATCTTGCTAAATAGAGCTGACCTTTGTCAGGCCAACCCAATGCATGCTGATTGTACGATGATCAATGAAAGGTTACAGTCATAGAACACACAGATTCTGACAATTTGGTATACTCCACAAAACTCAATCGAGGGCCCAGTGCGGTAGCTAAAGTCCTTGCCTTGAATGCACCAGGATCCCAAATGAGTGCTGGTTCCCAAATCCCTGCAGCCCCACTTCCCATTCAGCTCTCTGCCTGTGGCCTGGGAAAGCAGTCAAGGATGGCCCAAAGCCTTAGGATCCATGCAGCCATGTGGGAGATCTGGAAGAAGCTCCTGGCTCCTGGCTTTGGATTGGCTCAGCTCCACCAGATGAGGACCCTTGGGGAATGAACTATCCAACAGAAGATCTTCCTCTGTCTTTCTTCCTCTCTGTATATCTGCCTTTCCAATAAAAATAAATAAATCTTAAAAAAAAAAACAACACACAACTCACTTGAAAGTCATCGGGCTTTTGTCTCCTGGACCTAGGTCACTCACATTCTACCCTAAATAAACCTTACACTAATGTTTATAATGAACATTTTTATTTCAGTTGACACAGACCTCCATAAACTAAGATAAACTGTAAGAAATGTCATTTCCCCTTCCATCTATATAGTCCCTCAATTTATCACTAAATGTATTCTAAATTGATAGTGTGTGCTAATAATGTGAATGTAGATCTTTTTACAATCTGGAAACTAGAAACACAACTTTTAGATATTAGACACAATTACTCAGTTAAGATTTAAATTATGACCAATGACTACAAAACTCTGTAAACACAACATGTAGAAAAGACTTAAGATAATATTACACAGCTTTGAAAGTGGGAAGATTCAGCTTTGATTTCACATAAGACAACTGAGAAGCTATAGATGCTAAAACAGGAACACAATTTTGTGTTGACATATTCAACAAACTTTGAGGTGTCACCAGAGAAACTTTCCTGGAGCAAGCAAATAACCGGATAATTCATGCTACCCAGAGAAAAGGAAACAACAAATTGAATTCAAGGTATTAATGCATTATTAGCAAAAAGATATGCCAGAGAAAAAGTCCAAACTAATGAAAAGAACAGTGCAGCTGGCAGTCAAAAGCCCACAGATTTGGAAAGGGCTAGATCAGAGTCACACATATATTATGAAAGAGTTTCCACTTGACTCTGTTGGTTCTAGAATTGCAGTACTGCTGCCTCCCAGGGTGTTCTTTAACAGAAAGCTTGAGTTAAGAGCCAGAGCTGGGAAGCCAATCTAGGCCTTCTGGTATGGACATAGCAACTTAATCAGTGTCTTAAATGAGAGGCTAAAATGTCTGCCTCTAGAATTCACTTTTGATCTAAACAAGATACCATGAAGTATGTAACAGAGTGGAGGGTATCAGAGAATCAAAGAAATAAAATAGGACACATCAGTACATCTTCATAAAGGCAGACAGCACAAGATGCATATCAAAAGTTGAGAATTTGATCCACTTCACAGAAGCAGCAAAGCCAAGGTACCCGAGGACTGATCACCGACAAGAAAACAATGCTAGCACATCAGGTTCTGCATCTGATGCTCAGGGGCTCTGAAGTCTTGGATAAGCTACTTAGTCTTGTCGATTAAGTTCCTTATCTATAAAATGGGGATAATAACAGTAGTTACCTCATAGGATGTATGGCAATTAAATACCATTACATATACAGTGCTTAGCCCTGTGCTAGCTTAGAATAGGGTCTCAAATCGGTCTTCACTGATAGTGCTTAAAGCACTTCATTTTCAAGAGGCAGGTTTAGTTATGCATTGATGACAAGTCCTGATGGAATCCTGATTTACAGGTTCATAATTAGCTTCATGTATTACTTCACATTGGGGAAGGGGAGATTGAGCAGGGGGATGTTGAAGAACCTAGATAAACACACTACACTGTATGAACACATGTATCCTACACGTCAGTAAAAGGAAAAACAAGTACTCAACTGTAATCTCAAATCCAGGAATCTGCTCAATGTATGACGTACACCTCTCATTAATTTCTGGAAAAAAGTATACCCTACAGAGACTTGTTCATCTTTATGTCAAAAATGAATTAAACAGAACTGGAATAGTAACAAGTGCTGTAATGTTGTCTCCCTTTTTACTTTACACCCATGCTATTCTTTAGTGATACAGTGTATAACTCTTCCAGCTAGTCCAAAGAGACAGAAAGATTCAATTATTCCCCAGATCTACAAGCAGTTATATATTTTCCTTATTCTCATATATTAGAATTTCATTATGGCTGGAACAGATAAAAAAATCTGCATACAGTAAAAGATCTTATGATCAACACATCCAAGAATCCGAGAGAAATGCATGAAAATACATTAAATTTCATAATATATAGCCTCATTACTTTTAAGAACAATGTTGTTACCCTTGAAACAAACAGAAATCCTACCTTTTAATAAAACAAGGAGTAAAAACATCAGTGGAGCTCTATATCAAAACAATGAAAATACAGATCTGTAATTAAGATGTGATTATGATTGAAACTGACAAGGTAATTGAAGAAAACAGCAAGCATGCAAGTTGGCTAGCTGTAGGAAAGAACACGATATACAAATTTATACTAGAAAATGGCACATACAAATTACAGTTCAGTGGTAGAGTTCCTGGAAAAAAATCCTTAAGACTTGTTTTTTTTCTCACAAATTCGTATATTCAGTAAGGAGAGAATTTCTTGGAGGAATTAACTCGCTGAGCTCCTGTGTTTGCTTCTGGCTCTGTACAATTCAGTTTTGTACAACAGTCCCTAGATTTCCAACAGCCCCAGGAAGCACTGAGATTTATGCTTTCGAAAATATTTAACAGACTCCAAGCAAAGAAAACAGGCTGTTACGTTCAATGTTAAAAAAATAATAATCACTTTATAACAAAACTGTAAAAGAGCTCAAATCAACTTCCCCTTGTTTTAATAAATTTTCACATGTAAAATGCAAAGAAAAATTCTCAACTACCTCAACTCTAGCAAAAAGTATTTTACAGCACCTTGGAAGTACTATAAAATAACTGCAGATCAGAATTGGGGTACTGAAACGCTGAGAAAAAGTGTCAATGATCAAACAGCATTCTCAGGAAAAACAAACAACCCATCTCACATGAGATCACACACTAAGCTGGTGGCCATGCAGGTTTTGTAAATGGGACCTCTCAATAAATAAAAAGCCAATAAAGCCCACCCTCCCCAAATTGCAGCCATTGAGAGTAAGCAAAACTGCCTTGGGATAAATGAGGGGTGAAATGGCATGTGCTCTAGTGAAAGGTAAAGTGGCTGGGCAAACAGCACGTCTTTGTTATCCTCCCCAAAATAATTTTGCTAGCATTGGACTAGTCTACACAAAGGAATGCAGGAGGTAAGCCTGGGCCTGGACTTGACACTCGGTACCAATCACAGTCTCTCCTTTTGTGGCTGAGACTCTTACAAAGAAGTGATTATTTGCCTGAACAAGCAACAACCTAGAACCTATACTCAACACGATTTGTAAATAACTTGAATCGATTTATTTCACTGGTACCAGGCACTGAAAAGACCAAGACCAGCCATAGTTATGTAAACATAGAAGCATTGCCTATAAACAAAACTTAGGCATTCCAGAGCATTTGCTCCCCCTCCCCCCCCCCGCTATGATATGGAGTTACAGATCTGAAACAATGCAGGTATCAGTAACATTTAAGCTTCTGCTGTGGATAATATCCATAACATCTTTTTTTTTTTTTTTTTTAGTTAGCCAAAGAAAATCAGAATGGAGAAAATCCATTAGGAACATTAAACCCAGACATTCCCCAGGGGTTCCTACTACTTCTCCAGTGGAATCTATCAGTAGCAGCACTCATCTCACAGCTCTACTGATGGGGTGTTCCCAACTGGGCAAACGGGTCCAAACCCCAAGTGCAGGTGGCAACTCCCGCCCCCACTCCTAGGCTTCCGGCTTGGAAATCTTCAACAAGTTCATCTCCAAACCGAAGGTCAGACACATCGCACAGAGGATGGCAACGGGAAACGTGCTAAATCGCCCATTCCGATACACGCAGGGGTGGGCGGCACAGCCTCCCGGAAGCACTAAGGGTACTAACTACAGCCATCACGAGCGTGGGGTGTGGGGGAAGCCGGGCTGCCCACGGCGGTCACGGAGAGGACAGTCACGGGAGAAGTGACGCAGCGAGGCCGGTCACCTGTGGGGCCACCAGCCCCAGCCCCGCCCCCCGGGCCGCAGCCGAGGAGACGCAGAGCCCGGCCGCGAACTCACCATCCACCGTCTTCTTCTTGAAGAGGGACGCCATGGTCAGGGACCGCGCCCCGGCGGCCCGGCTCGGCCCGGTTCGGTCTGTGCCTGCCAAACAAGAGGAGGAGAAAGACAGAGCCTTGAAGGGTTCGCAGTGGCGGACTGGACACCCGGAAGGAGCGGCGTAGGTTTGTCCGGCAGGACCTGCGGAGGGCGTGGACGGCCGGAGCTCCCGCAGCCGCGTCGCCCGGCGCTCAGGTGACCGGGAACTAAGACACTTTTTGGAGAAGTCACTTCTAGGCGGCGCCTGCGCGCTCTGCGGCTGGCGCCTGCGCACTGAGACGCTGAGGCCGCGCCGCTGCCCTCACTTCAGCGGCTGCCCATTCCTCCAGCTTTCCGGGGGTCTCTTCCTGGAACCCCTCGACCTTTTCGCGGGTCGAGGAGCGTGGTGAACGCTGAGGGGCTTTTGTGCTAAGCGCGGTCAGAGATAAGCCTCGCTTCGCCTTCTTCGTTCTTCCCTCAAGGGAATTTTGAGTCCGTGGCCCCCCGGGATCGGAGGACAGGTGTGAGTCGTCCCGGCACTAGATGCGGTTGCTGAACGGTGCAGCGAGGGTCCGGTGAGCTCTGCGCCCGGGGCTGGTCCTTCCCGGTTCTCACGCCCTTTTCCGCAGTGACTCAGGCCGGGATGTTGCTGCCTTGCTCTCGGCGCAGACTCTGTAGGAGCCGAGGCGTTCACCTGCTGGCCTGAGCTCCTGGACTCTGGACTTGGAGTGGGTCTGTCAGAGCTGGAGACTAGGGCTGGCGCGGGAAGGAAGGAAATGGGAGCAGGCTTCCTAACGCAACGTGTTTAGTTTAATGTTGGAAGCATTAAAACATATGTGTGTGTACACCAGTTGTTAGAATTCCCCTACCCCAATTTCTTGATTGCTTGTAATTGCTAAGGAAAAATCCATGACTTTCTTGTGAACCTGTGTGGATAGTGCATATCCACTTGCTTGTTGTTGTGACAAAAAACTTTTCCATATCATGATAAAGGAAAAGTATACTGAGCTAATCCTTGCGATTACAAATGTACATAAAGACAATACCTTGTATTTATACCTTTACAGACAGATCTATTTATAATTTCATTGTTGAGAATCTTAGTTTGGCTTTCCTCAGAATCTACTGTCTTAAGCAGCACTGACTGCCGTCTGCAGGATAAAAATAATAGTATTTTTATGATTTATTTCTGTTATGAAAAACTCAAATGGCAATGTCAATATTATGAGTCACTTCCAGATTTATGAATCCTGTGTCAGGAATTTTTACATCTGGGATTAGATATTTGCTGTCCCCACTTCTTTTTTCCTGCTTCAGAGGCTCCCAAAGCTCACCTAGCTCCTGATAATTCTGCTGCTGCTGCTGAAATTAAGCAGTCCATTCAGGAAGCTGCTAGAATGGCCCAGCAAGGTGCAAGGTTCAGTTGTCTTGCCCCTTCTCGGGTTTGTCTGCTTGTTGTAGGAAAGTGAAATAAGGAAACATGTGGAGGAGACCCAGTCTTTGTGCCCAGAGCCTGTGCTGTTCCACTGGTGAGCTCTATTGGGGAAAGGCGGGTTGCCCAGGCTGCCTGTTGTAATAAATGGCACGGAGCATGTGCGTGAACGCGTAAGAGGCGAGAAGCTGCTCTGCAGCGGTGATGGTATTCCTCCCTGCCGCCGTCACCCTTGTTTTATTACTCCCACACAGTCCCCCCTACTGACCCAATTGTAACAGTTGGGAAAATGCCAAAATACTTAGCAGCAACCATATGGAAGACCCACCAAAAGTGCACAGCAGGAGGCAAAGAGGAAGCTCCTTCATTACAATAAAGATAAAATAGAAATATGCACTGTTTAAACTCAGCACCCTGATGGCTCGATTCTCCCCTACATGGAGACAGACTGATATTTAACTGACACACATCAGTCTGTCTGGCATCCATTCTGACTAGTCGGTGCTCACATTGTACTCAGACATGCTTTCTCTCCTTCAAGGGAGTGATAGGATTTTTAAATGTAAGCTAGAATACATCAGTATAATAACCTTCATTTACTTATGATCAATATGACCGCTTACAAATAGTAAGTCACAATACTAGAAGATAAAGTATGTTCTTTTTAAAATGTTATTAAGAAATAAACTAGCATCCGGTGGTCATAGCATGATGACCAACGCTCTTCTTTAATTTGCACAGAGTAAAAAATACATATTACGGATCTCAGGGCACATCCCATGTTATATGTTGGGGTTATGCCAGTGAATAAAAAAATACAGTTCCTCTCCCTTTTTATCATAACTAAAGTCACTATCAGCTCTTTTTCTTAGTCTTTACTCACTCATCTATCCATCTCAGTGTAGGAAAAGAGCTCTCACAACTAGATGTGATCCTAGAATTCTGTGATCAGTTGTCTCTGATTCTATACACTGCTTCTGGTTGAATACTCTGAAAATACAGGAACAATTTTCACAATAGTGTATATTGAATCACAACAGACTTTTCATTAAATAAAGTTTTCAGCATTTTTAACATGAGTTTTTACCCAATCCTTCCCACTAAACACTTGATTAGAAGGCAACTTATGCAAATGCAGAAATTTTTGTGTATCATATAAAGACAGCCACTAAGGCACCAAGCCACTTTGGTATTGATGTAGAGACTTTTAAAGCATTGCAGCTTTCTAAGAACACATTGATGGGAAATTATCAAAATCGTTTTTAACTTTCAATTTTAAGAGCATTCTGAATATTTCCTAGACAAAGGAGATTTTTTTAAATCAATGTATGATATGCCCATATTATGTTCATATTCTTTCAATTGTAGCAATCATAAAGATAGAAAATGAATTCAGTTTGGCATGATTCATGAGAAAATAATGTTCATTGAATATGAGCAATATTATAATCATCTGAAACTTAATGATCGATTCTGTTTCTTTGAAAAGTTGGAATATTTCTCTTGGTTCAGTCTTGGCTCTCTTGGGTTAGCATTTCAGTGGTTCTAAATCTCTATTTTGATACCTGTGAAATTTCTCCACTTTATATAAATACATTTCAAAAAATTTGGTAGTGCATCTTCTTTTTTTAAGATTGTATTTATTTTTATTGCAAAGTCAGATATACAGAGGAGGAAGAGACAGAGAGGAAGATCTTCGGTGTAATGATTCACTCCCCAAGTGGCTGCAATGGTTGGAGCTGCACCAATTTGAAGCCAGGAGCCAGGAGCTCTTCCGGGTCTCCCCCATAGGTACAGTGTCCCAAGGCTTTGGGCCGTCCTCGACTGCTTTCCCAGGCCAGAAGCAGGGAGCTGGATAGGAGATGGGGCTGCTGGGAGTAGAACTGGCACCTCAAGGCTACCATACCTGGCCTGGTAGTGCACCCTCTTTTCTCTTGGCTCTGCTGATAGACCATGTCACACTTGAGAAGACTGGATTATGGACACAAACTGTCGATAACCAATTCTGCAGTTTCTAGTTACTAGACATGGGGCAAGTCATTGAAGGTCTCCATGTCCACAGCATCCCTTGGGTAATAGGACTAACATTCACATTCTTCTGATACAGCCATTGGAGAGACTGTCAATTACTACTTAAGTATGTGTCTAATGCATCTCGCAGAGTATTTGTGTTGCTACAGCAGACCGCCACAAATACTACAGATAGTTCATAGGCAATGGGATCGCATTTTCTTATAGTTGTGAATCCTGGGAAGTCCAAAGTGAACATGCTGGCTGATTTCTTCTATGGGAAGGGCAGCTCTCTCCAACCATAATGGAGTTTCATTGCTTTGACCTCTGGAAATGAGGAAGACTATGTGTTTCCGTGGTGGGAGAGGAAAAAGACAATATAGAGGGAGGCCACTGTTTTATGACTTCCTGATCCTGGGAGGCTGTGCCCTGATGCCATAGTCATCTCCCCAAATCCATACCTCTAGGACCAGCACATCCGTGGTCAAGTAGCAACATATGTATTGGGGAAACACATTCAGACCATGGTGCATACTAAATATTCCCAAAATATTAGCTGTTATTGTTTCCGGCTCTCTCACTTTTGTTTTCAGGAGAGTAATCTCCCTTTAAAATTCACTCACCTCTACTAGATAAAATGTAGGTTGAAGATTTACATTTTCGAGTTCTGATATTGGTTGCTTCTATTACATATCTCTTCCCCACAAATTAGGCCATTGATTTCTTCTTCTTAATTAAAAAATAAAATCTGTTTTTCTTGTGCTTGAATCTTGTATGAGTTGGCTTATTATAAGAATGTGTGACTAACATTGTGTTTGTTTTATGTGAAGGATTCATTTTTAATTAGTTTGTATTGGTCTTGTCTGCTCTAATTGCCAATGAATCACCTTGGGCTCAAGGAGATTGTCTTATCAGACTTTTCAAAATGTGTTTCTACTGGAATATTCACATCTAGTGGGGATTTAAGAATGTAATAGCATTTTATATTGCCTGTTTTTCAATATTTTAGTTGAAAGTGCATAATACCCAGTAGTATGCATGTATTGAACTTGATGAAACACTTTACTCAAATTTCCATATATCTGGGGCTGGCATTGTTGTTCTGTTGGTTAAGCTACAGCCAGTACGCAGGTATCTTATGAGGGCAGTGTCCCCGCTGCCGCACTTCCTTTCCAGTTCCCTGTGGCTGTTACTGGGAAGGTGGCCAATGATGGTCCTTGTCCTTGCGACCCAGCTGTCCACAGGGAGGCTGTACTGGAATTCGTGGCACCTACTTTCAGCCCTGCCCAGCATAGACTGTTTCAGCCTTTGGGGAAGTGAGCATCTGTCTGTCTCTCCCTTCTTTCTCTGTACCGTTCTGCTTTTCTAGTAAAATTGTTTTGAAAAAAACATGTTTCTAATATGTGAACGACAGCTAACATTACCTATTTTAATGAGCAGTATAAGTCCAGGGAGCTTAAATCAAAGTCACTAAGTGACTCTTGGCTCTTTCTGAGTATTTATTGTGGTTATCTCCTGTTTGTTTGTATGTTTATTTATTTATTGTCAGCTTCATGTACGTCCAAATTTGAACATAGTGGATGTTAGTTTGCTATTTTACATACACTTTACAGCATATCCTGCTTTATATTAAATACTTCTATAGTACAAAACATGACTATCCATAAATAAAATTAAGAATAACACATGTATTGTATCACATTTTGAAGTGGACTTAGGGATCTAGGACAAAAGAATCACCACTTTCAAATTGTAAAAATCTCTCCTGTGGATGACCATTTTGAGTATAAGATGCCTGCAGCTCACAT